CAAGGATATCGAAAGAGAAAAATTAAATTCTAATTAAGCACATCTAAACCACGCACTTGTTATTACCAAAATATCTACAGTTTTTTTTCTTTATTTTGTATTTTCAAAGTTTTAAATAATTTTGGTTTCGTTATGCAATTTAAATAATCACTTTTAAACAAAAATTGTTTCTAAAAACGAAAACTGTTAATTACGAAAGATGGAAAAAAAATTAATTTTTGTCGTGGTTTTTTGTGTTGTTTTTTTGTTAATTTCCAACATGTGTTCCATTTTACAGTAAAGATGATTATAAAAAGTTAGTCAAAAAAGAATGGCAGTTAAATCTTACTTTATTTTTTTTTTGTTTTTTTTTTTTTAACATCAAAATAAAGTAAGTATAATGGAAATTAAAGGGGGTAACATGAAAACGGTCCCAATACACCATAAGACATTTAACTAGATATTTGAGTTACCTTTAAAGCAGACTTGTTTCATTAATCCTTTATAAGCGCCTAAATAGATTTCTATAAATGATTAGCAGATCGGCTATGTAATGGTGTTTACTAAGCCTAGGAGCGTGAAGAGTTCCGATCAGATTATGTTTGAGTGCATGATATTCAACATACAATATAGATGGGGTGTGCTCTTGTCCCTAATTTTAACAAGTAATAAACTTAATCATCAGCCTGCTCTCACAGTTCTACACTGAAGACTCTTCTTAGTTCGAAAAAAAGATCCCACATATTTTTCTGAAGAATTTATTTACCTCCAGACGACCTCTACGCACCCTACATTCTTCCAAATGATGCTATAGCCAGCCTGATTCAAGATATTTTCCTCTGTACTCCCCTGTGTACTAATCATACTATCGAGGTAATTGAATTTTGTTACTTCCTCTATATAAGGATCATTTATCTTGAATTGGTTTGTGCTTCGGTTATTTATTCTGATGGCAGAGTCTTATGTGTGTTTATCCGGAGTCCTGATCTTTTATGCAGGGCTGATGTATGGGAAAGCTGGGCAATGTCATCCGCTTAATCTAGATCTTCCTGGCCATCTCAAACTCTTGGATGTGCGCGTGACTTCTTTCATTATTTCATTTAGAACATTATTAAAGAGCATTGGGAAAGGTAAACAACATCGTTTTACTCAGGTGTTTATCTTGATTGGTTCACCACCATTTCTTGTTTCATTTCCTTTGTATAGTGCCTTTATTATACTGACTACTTTTTCCGATATGAGGGTGATACGAGTATTTCAAACGAATTATCAAAGTTTATGGAATTTTTCAAGTATAAATTGCAATTTTTTTATCGCATAGTACATAAATTTTATCAGTAATGTGTGGATGTATACGTATATGTGGGTACATAAATAGTCTAAAATTCCGCAATGTATTCATATAGGTGTATGTACAATCGAGGGAATTGAAACTCTATACATATTTATAATTTGTTGTTGTTAAAGTGCGCGTCTATGCATAATTTTTTTTGTGTTTTTCTCTATTTCTCTAATGTTGGCTCCATTTTTGTACAAAAAATGATGAAAAACTTTAATAATTTTTTTTATTGTAATTTTTCTTATTTTCATTTTTGTCTAGGTTCTATTATATACGAGATTCTGTGGTATAATATTGCCAACTATAAATATAAAATTTTATTTTTATTTTATTTAATCTATATTGTATGTATATATAGAATTTTTTTTTAATACCTACACAATATAATAGACTTTCTGTTTAAAAAATGGTTAAGTCACCAAAATTTTTATAGAAGTTATAATGTGTTTTATGTTCTCATATACTGTCGTAACTACATAGTGCAAAAGAGAAAGGAAAATATTATAAAAGTTTTGGTAGGTAAGTAATAGTAAAGTTTTAAAAGTAAAAATGTGTTCTGTTGTGATTTATTGTACACGGTAGATGATTATTTGAACAGTTAGTAGGTAAAAGGCATTAAGAAGAAATTCATTTTAAAAGAATTAAAATAGAGAGACAGAGAGAGAGAAGGAGAGAAGGATAGCGAATAAAAAAAGGAAGAGAAATAAATATTTGACAAGTGCATTGGCAGTCAACATTTATGAAGTAGATTTTTTACTGTATTTACCAATTTTTGCATTACTGGCTTACTTTTATTTTGTCTTTTTTTAAATATATTTTAAAATTCATCGTGGAAATAATAATAACCAGTGAATAATAAAAAAAATAAAGAAAAAAAAATAATAGAAATTTTATTTTTCGGGAATTAGGCTGCAATTTGTTTTTTCCCTTCTAAATTTTTTCAGTAAAAAAATATTTAAGCTTAAATTGTTTGTATGTTTAAATATGTCAACGTTCTACATTATTGAGATGAAATATTTATTAATGCATTTACACAAGCACGTGTATATGTACATACCATAAACGAAGGACATATCGAAGGTAAATAATATTAAAAAAAAATCATGTATAAATTTGTAACTTCACGTCAACTTACAACTAAGGGAAAAGTGCTGTCAATGGAAAGGAACAAATTGACAATAAAAACAGTCGACAGTTTAAGGTTATTAAAAAAAAATTGAAGCTTTAACATGAAAAAACAATTACTTTTTATAAATATTTGCAAAGTTAATATTAAATTTTTTTTTTGGAAAATCAGTTGCTTTCATTTAAAATAGTTTTATTAATCTTTAAACATTTTTATTTTTAGGATACTAAGGCAGACGATAATATTATATTTGAGATAAAAGCGCTTTCATGATATACGAAAATAACTACTTCGAATTGTAAATCAAAAAAACGTATTGAAGGAAATATTGAGAGCTTTAATAGTGAAGTCGGATTCATTCTTGTTAAAGGAGTTATGCGAAAAATATGGTTTTGATGAAATGAATTTGGATGTTTATATCTATTTGAAATGCTATATTTCACATATACTTATTTATGCTCATAACTTGGTAATAAGCAAATTTGCGTTAATAATTAACAAATTATATTGTAACCGGAGAACTGGTCCCCCCCTCCAACAAAATTCTTTTAAATCCACCATTAAATATTAATAACCAATAATATTCATTTATTTAATCGTTTATAGAGTTGAAAATAGTTATATAATTTTATAATGATGTTCTAATTATAACATTTTTTTTTATTAATAATTAAACTCTATACAATTGAAATAATTATATAAAAAAAAAAAGAGTTCAAGGACAAAATCATCACTCATTAATGTTAAATAATTTTAAAATAAATTGACATTATACAATTATAGTCGAATAATGCAATAATATAAATGTTTTACTGTATGTATATAGTTTTAATATAAATATAAATTTTTTATATTGTGAATTGTTTTACAATAATTTTGATATTGTCATAAAAATTTATAATTAGTTTTTAATTTAATTGGTTTTATTACTTTTGTTTATGGTTATACAAATTTTAATTATTATATAATTTTAATATTTTTAAAATTAATTTTTGTTTTGTATATTAAGTGAATAACTCTTTCAATGCTACATTACAAAAATATAACATTGTGTGTTTTGTGTATACATGTGTAGGTACATAATCTATAAATGTAGGTTTACAAAAATCTATATAATTGAATTGACTTAGTTAGTCAATTTGATTACAATTTATGTACTCTGATCACGTTTATATATTTTGAATTCATTTCCATTAATAATTAAATGTTATTTTTTTGTATTATTCTTCATTTCAATTCAAAATTGTATAATAGAAACAAGGGAGGCATTAAGTATACTACTACTGTGTAACGTATATGCGGAAAAAGAATTTCATGAATATTAAAGTTAATTTTAGATTTAATAATACTAGTAAAATTTCAATATTTCAACATAAATAAATATAATACCCTTTAGAATTTTTTTGAAAAATCACGAATATACAATATACATAAATTATAAATCATGTATACGTATGGGTTTACGTTATGTACATTGTATATTTGAACTAAAATTAATATAGAAATCTCAAAATTATAGAATATAGAAAATTTTACATAGCATGAGATCGATTATTATTTGTATATAGATTTATTCAGATAACAAATTTTTATGGAATTTAAGTTTTGAATTAAATTGAATGAGATTTTTTGTTTTTAATGTTGAAGGAATTTAAATTAATTGAAATGAAGCCAAATTTAAAAATTTTAAATATTTTTTTTTGTTTTGTAATTCGTAGGTATTCCCTAATTATATAATAAAAGGTGATGGATATTTTCATTTAATAGAGCATAGAAAAGGTTCACAAATTGGTGATTTGAAAAACTTAAGAGGGAAAGAGATTTCGGAAGATCGTTTAAAAATAAGTCGTACGTAGTCGTGGAGATCGGTTATAGGTGTCTTGTGTGATAAAAAATTTCCAATCAAACTAAAAGGGAAAATCTACAAAACAACGGTCAGACCAGCCCTTATGTATGTATGGAATGAAGTGCTAAAGGATAAACAAAACACATGATCAAAAGCTACATGTTGCTAAAATAGGAATGTTAAGGTGGTCAGGAGGCGTAACAAAATTAGACAAGGTACGAAACGAACACCTCAGGGATACCTTCAAGGTGGCAGACACTAAAGAAAAACTATTAGGAAAGCGACCGAGATTGTAGGGTCACGTCATGCGTCGAAACGAGGACTACGCTGTTTGAAAGGCCCTTGATATTCCAATACCTCAGAGAGGACTAGGAATATCATCAGCAGCAAGCCTAGGAACAGTCAATAGAAATATGATGAAAGTAGGAATGAATGCAACGACAAACCAAGACAGGTGTTCTTAGCGCCTCAGATCACGGAGGGCCGACCCCAGGTAAACTGGTTCCCTGAGTTCCGGAAACCGTATTAAGAGAAATTTTAGAGTTTTTGTTTTGTATTTATTAAAAGTTTATTATTATATAATATTATTTTTACATAACTAAATTTATATTTTATTGTTTAATATAAAAAATAATAATTTTATTCTAATTATTAATTAGATTTTATTTTCCGTATACAATGGAAAATTTATCATTTTTGTTTTTGTTTTTTTTTATCATATTCCATGATAATAAATAATAAAATTATGGCACAAATTTTAATGGCGGGAAAAATCTCATTGCTTTTGCTGTAACACTAGTTGGTGTTTCTAAATCTGTAAAATAAAATGGAAAATTTTAAAATTAATTAAGTAACTACAAAAATATAATATTAAAAGGTTTTAATAATTAAAGACAAAGCAAGTAATCTTATCCTATTTTATTATTTATTACACCTTAGTGAAAATTTTCAAATTTACGTATATGAAAGTATTGCAGAATTAAATAATATTTTCTAAATAAATATTTGAAATTGAATTCCTACTCAGTGTTATTATTATATTGACCTTTTAATGACCTCATTAAAATACACAAAACTTTTGTAATTCTATGAATTCCTGTTGTCATTGACAACGTTTGATATTTATTAGAATTTTATTGATTTCAAGTTACATTTTCTAAATACATATATACAAGATTTGTAAGTTTTTATTCTTAGAAATTTTGCTTTCTATAATAATTCTGAGAAATATTGATAAATAGAATTTAAAAGTAATTATTTGAATTCGTAGAATTTAATGAAAAGAACAATAAAATGACATTATGACTGTAAAGTATTCAATTACATGCTAGAGTACTTACTTACATTTGTTATTTATATTTTGTGATTTGTTAAACATTATTTAATATAAAATTAGGTAGGTAGTGATGTACTATAAAACCATGGTCTTTGACCGTAAGTGTTTAATAATTAAATAATATTTATTTTTTAATTAATAACACATACGAGTATTATTTTTATTTTTAAATATTTAATTTTTTCCCACTTCAATTTTTAATAATCATGTAAATTCTCAGTAATTTTGTGTTAATTATCTTTAAAATTTTATTAATTAGTTACAATTAACAAATAAAACAGGCTGTTATGATTTTTAAAGTGGAACTGTTTAAATAATTTAAATATGAAAACATCATAAATAAAAAAAGTAATTGCATAATTTTAGGCTAATACCATTTAAATTCTACCAGCTCTTATAATTTTTTTTGACACAAAATATAAATTTTTTTATTAATTTGAACTGTAGTCGAGTACTTGGAGCTTTTGAGTAAATCTCTTTCTTATGCAGCCAAACAATAAAATAATTCGATATACACTGTGAAAAATGTTTGTGTAAAATTGTTTTAATATAGTTGAAGAGAAATAAACATATACACATGAAAATTGATGAGAGTGACGAGTTTTGCATAATTTGAATAGTCAAAATATTAGAATGGATTTTTGTACCCTGTCCTGCACCTTCGTGAATATGGAGTTTGTGGTTTGAACATATATATATGTTCTTGCTCAGCGTAAAATTCAGCGTTTACTTAAACAGGACAGTCCGTCCCTCGGAATACGAATATAACTCAAAAACAATTTAAGCAAACACCACCAAACTTTCATAAATTGTTTCTTTTCTGCCATAGATCAGACATATCCATGAAGTTCTTATAAAATGATTTGACAGGTTCTAAATATTTCAAAATAACTTTTTTTACACAGATTAATCAGATACAGGATGTAATTCAGTCGGTATAGATCGACTGAAACGTTTTTGTTCAGTTACTCCTTTTTAGATTAATTTAGATGTTTGTCAAATAAAATTACTCTATATGAGAGTACTATTGCTCGATGAAAGAGTAAAATCTATGATTTTCAAAATAATTTTTACATTTAAATTTTTTTACACTTTATTTTGGACTTTCTCTCAACTTTCCCAAATCCTCGTAAATTAGGTGTGGATTCTAAAGTCAAAAGCAAGAAACGCTTAGCTTTGGAAAGGAAGCTTGGTCATTTGATTCCTCTGATTTTCTGCTTCATAAAATTTTTTGTTCTATATAGAATTGAACCGGTTAATCAAAGTGCTTCACTATATTTCACAATTGTAATTAATACCTCATTTTTGTTTGTATGTATGTTTATCTAGAATTCTGTATTTTTACAGAATCACAAATAAATGGTTTACTTTTACACATCAATTATCTTTGACAATAATTTGTTTAAAATATCCTTTTAATTTTTTTATCCTATTTCACTCTGATGTTCTAGGTTTTTTTTTAAATTTGAAGTTCAAAAATAAATTTAAATTTTATAAAATAAATGATGATTATTTTATAGTATAGCGTTGTTAATTGTTATGTATAGTATGTCGTAGTCATTTGTTATTGGACACCTTGGTTATCATGTTTTTACAATTTTAATTATTTAATGTAAAAAAACAATGTTTTTTTTCTATTTCAACAATTTTTTATTATTCCGGTTTTTTAAGTATGTACATTTTTTTACACAATTTTTACGTAAAAAGATGTAAAAATAATTAATCAAATTTAATTTACCGTATTTGGATGCGGTTTTCAGGTAGATTTAAGTTGCATGTAATACTTTGATAGGAGAAAATCAGTATGTATATAAAAAGTGAGAAAAAAATGTAGTTACTAATAATTTACACACAATTGGAATTGAATTAAAATTTGCAAAAAATTTAATAGATTTGTAACGTAAAGTAAAGTTATTGTCTTGATACTTTCATTTAATTTACCCTGTTAAAAGATCGAAATCGGAACTTTTATTGTTCTTGCAATTGAATCTTTCTAAATCCCCAATGTTAATTTTTGATGTTCATCCAGCCCGTCACACTTGCTTCACGTGACGGTTCTGGCCTCGCCCAATACCGGACAGTCGCAGAGATATCGAAAAAGACTTGCACGGGTTAATATCCCGTGTAAACTGCAGTTAGGCCGGCAATGTCTCCCAATCGAGACATCGCCAGGATTTGTCGCGAGAAGAGGGGCAAATACGATTTCCTAAGGTTGTATTTTGGCAACATTTTTCTTGCTCATGTTGATGGAACCTTCCACCTGCGGTCAGCACACAATTGATATTTTATATATATATATTAGTTTTCAAAGTGTTGTTGTTGCTAACAAAAACCCATTCCGTCCGATAATGTTAATGACACATTTATCCAACTCATCCGCCCGTTAAGTTCTGGTGTACTGGGGAAAAGTTTGGATTAAACACAGTCTTGCATTACGCCTTATAAGATTGAACAAATTTAATCAAAAATCAAATTTTTTTCAAAAAGTGTATATTTTAACATTTACTGCAAATGAAAATATTGTTGGATGGTCTCGGTTGATTAAACTTTTATTTGAAAATTTTTATGTAACATGTGTCACAATGGCTTACGGAGTTGATTGTCCTTTTTCCATTTAAAAATTTGGGAATTTGAATTTTTGATCTTTACTAAATTTGCAGTAAAAATCCCTTTTTTTTGTCATCTGCTTTTGAATAATAGAATTATTTGCGTATCTGCATATAAATAGGGGTTATCATTTTGGAGAATTTTTTTTTTAGTATATTAAAGTTTTCAGTTCTAATAAGTTTCTTTTTTTGTTTTTGTTGCTATTTTAACTATAATTTTTATTTAAATTGGCATTTATGCATGCAAATATTTTTTTTCTTTATAATTATTTTGCATTCTTTAATAAAAATGACTTAAATGTTTTCTTTTCTTGTTATTAACTTTCTTTTTTTTAACTTTAAATATTTTCATGAAATGCAAAATAGCACTGATAAATTCCTTCTTACATGAAAATGATTTTTTTTTTAATTTCCTTCTAATTATAAGATATTTTGGGAAATTTTGAAAAAGTCGTATTTTCATTGAGTGTATTTTAAGTAAAGTCATAAGAGCAATTTTTAATTTAACCCCATTGAATGTCGCTATTGAGGGATGGGTGCGTGGGTGTTCGGGCCAAGAACCAAATTTTTTTCCAAATATGAACCTATTGGAACGGATGGAAAAACAAATTTTGATTATGTCGGACAACCAGGCCGTTGTCGGAGTGCTGAATTCAGCTTCAGTATCTTTTATGGCTATATGTGGTTGTTCAGAGAATTTCCACGAATTGGGTGAGCGAAACCGGGATACATCGTAAAATGAAGCAGCCATTGATGGCACGGAAAGGCTTTACCGCACTCTTTCTCGGTTTAGAGAGCTTCTACGGCCATATACTGAAATTGTACCACAGTAGAATTGTGCTCTTGGATATCTTGGGAAAAAGCGAGGAAGTAGTCAGAGCATTTAGAGGATTCTAAACTATTAACCTAATTTTGAAGGTACCATAAATTTAAAATATAAAAATTAGAAAACAAATTTACACAATTTTTTTTAAGAAGTGTGGGAAGAAGAAAGTCGGAAAATCCTCCCCTTTAGAGTGGGGAGAATTTTTGCTGAAAAGAAATTTTTTTTTTAAATAAACGAAATTTTTTAAAAAAAAATTTTTTTCGACAATAAATTTTATTTTCGTATAAAACAAAAAAAATTTTTTTTATTTTTTAAATAAATACCGTCTCCTCTCTATTACAGCTCTTCTTCCCCACCCCAACATTATAAAAATGTTCTTTTCTTTTCTCTACTGTTGTTATTGTCTATTTTGCATACCTTCAGGCAATTTCATATATGGTGTAATGCATTTCAAATGGGAACAATTGTAAATACCGAAGTGTATGCAATTTTATTTTTTTTATTTATTTTTTGATACTTTTATGAATAAAAAAAAGAAGTACAGTAAAAAAATGTCAGCGTTTCGAATTTAGATGAAGTAGAATTTTAACAAAACTTACATAAAATATAAGAATAATAGGATTCTTGTGCAAAATAATAACAAATAAGAAAATAAGAATTGGAAATGAAAAATACCAAAATTGTATGACACGAAATTGCATTCTGACAAAATAACGACTAATATTGGGATAAGTGTAAATTTTGTAATAGAATGATATGCAGAGCTCCCCTAGTGAATGATGGCAAATGCGTTTCTAATGAAAACTATTAAATAATTCAGGGATTTGCTTAATAAGTGACTGCACTATTTCAAAAAATTTACAAGGTCTAGGTGATTGTATATAATGATAATTTGTTAGTTGTTATAAAATTTGCAGTTCATTTAATTACTTTAACTTTTTTCTAAAGAAATTGGCCCGATTTCAATGTGAGCGTAGAGAATCAATAACCGAATAAATATTGCAATAGCTCGTATTTAATTAGAATTATATACTATTTTAAAACAA